CTGTTTGATTGGCAGCTGGTAGAAATCCCCGCCAAAGGTTCTTATGTTGAGACAGGAGTAGTGGAATTGCATGGCGCCTGTCACTGGTCCAGCGCTACTTCCACAAATTGAAAACAATTGGACGAAACTTGTTCCAGCCTTTCGTTCTGATTGCAATTCAAGTTTTCGATGTAACCTGTCACCTACGATCGCGAGCCATTATACGGACTGTTTGATTTCATTGGCAGGCACAGGACTACTTGTGCCAGACAGTTTTCGCGTCATATCATTCATCGTGAGATTTGTTGAAAGATGGATTTGTCAAGTGCGATGCAATAGCAGCTCGGTGGTGCAATCGCTTGCTCGAACTTTTAATTTGTATATTTCTAGGGCTTCAGTTCATCATGTTTGTTTGAAGTTAGTGGATTTGTTTTTAACCTTTTTTGCAATATTTATATAATATTACATCGGAGGACACCAGAATTAACCTGCACTCATTGACCCATATTGGGAATCGAACCGTTTACTGTCGAACGGTTACTGTTTGTGACAAGTGAACGCTTAACCTCTGAGCTATCCCATAGTGTGGAACTAGTGGATAATTTAATCTGCCAGGCAATATATATTCAAAGGGACAATACTCTGTAAAAACTATTCTGGACCTGGAGGTTGAAGCGTTTTCCTGTTACACCTAAAATCGAGGTTCGAATCCCATTCTAGTTCGCTTGGAATGAACGGATTGGTTCGGGTTTGGAATAATTTGAGAGAGAGGGAGAGAGAGAGAGAGAGAGAGAGAGAGAGAGAGAGAGAGAGAGAGAGAGAGAGAGAGAGAGAGAGAGAGAGAGAGAGAGAGAGAGAGAGAGAGAGAGAGAGAGAGAGAGAGAGAGAGAGAGAGAGAGAGAGGCACACACACGCACGCACACGCACACACACCAAACGAAAAGAATTGTCTTCAAGCATTTTACACATTGTGGAAAATCGAGCCCATGTTTATAGCACCGAGCGCGAACGCCTATAAGCTGCCACATCGCCCCTAACTAGCACACGTAGGTATTTGTTCATTCAGTATTCTAGTAACTGAAACAGCAGCAGGAGTATCATCATCATCATCATCATCATCAGCACCAGCAGCAGCAGCAGTAAGAGTAGCAGAAAATGAAATAAAGCTGTAGATGTAATAAATGCAGAAAATATATTTGCGGCACAGATGTAGCTGACGTCATACGGTAGCTGTTAATATCCCTGCCATCTGCTGTTTCATCTGTAAAATTGAGGTTACAGAATACCATTTTGGATGTCAATGGGGGAAGAACATAGCTTCAAACATCAAAGATAAAAAAAATACTTCCAACCCAAACTTCACAGGGCCATTTAAACAGGTATTACAATATTTTCAATATTTCGAGAAAAAAAACACACAACAGGTTTGGTCAATTAAAGCACTATTTTTAAAGTGTATATTTCGCCTCAAGGGCCGTATGATGTTACCCCGACAAGATCTGCTGATATTCTGCGGTACGATGAACGCCTTTACACAGAACCCGTCTCCCAGTTTCTTTCGGGAAGTGTGACTTTCATTAATAGAAACACACACAGGCAGCATTGAAAAATAACACACACCTGTCCTGATTTTACAAATGGATAGACGCTGTACAACGGACCCTCACTATCGAGAGACAAGCGGTATTAAACAATAGACCCCCAAAAACATTGTCACCACGTATAAATGGCTCTTAGATGTTATTTTAATACTGAAAAAAGCCGTTGATAACAGGTTTCGTCGAATTAAAACCCCACCCTCACTTTTGAGCACCGTGGAGAGGTCCATTGTCTTCATCTTATCGTATCCCCATTGTCACTACAGCGTTCGAGAGTTTACACGCATTTGCCAATTGATGAGTCTTTGATCTTTCGATTTCAATGCCTGTTCCTCGTTGACGAATTTATGCGTTTTCACAGCGAGAGAAAATTCAAGGGAGATAACACCTGATCCACGCCTTCGGCAAAAGTCGGATTAACCCGGTTAGACGTTGTACGGGTTTTGCTAAATGTTGAAATGAGCTGGAAGGTTTTCAATACAATAATAGTTACCGAGAACCACTGCCGCGTTTCTTTCATCTCTGCGAATGATTGAATGCTTTTAAGGAATTGTATTTCTTTGTTATGGAACCATCATATCGACATTTTGTAAGGTTTGTGGATGTATTTAGGTCGGTGTAATTACTCAACAGTATTTGAATGTCTTGTGGTATCTTTATAAAATAAATACTGCGAAACCTTGATAATACAGATGTATCGTTCTTGAAATCTGAAATGATCCAGATTAGTAGATGTTTCAACAGCAACAGTGGTGCTGGTAGCAGGAGTAGCAGTAGTAGCTGTGATAGTGTACATAGTAGTAGTAGTAGTAATGTACATGTACGTAGTAGTAGTAGGAGTAGCAGGAGTAGCTGTCATAGTGTACGTAGTAGTAGTAGTAATAGTGATAGTGTAAGTAGTAGTAGTAGTGATAGTGTACGTAGTAGTAGTAGTAGTAGTAGTAGTAGTAGTAGTGATAGTGTACGTAGTAGTAGTAGTGATAGTGTACGTAGTAGTAGTAGCTGTGATAGTGTACATAGTAGTAGTAGTAGTAGTAATGTACATGTACGTAGGAGTAGCAGGAGTAGCTGTCATAGTGTACGTAGTAGTAGTAGTGATAGTGTACGTAGTAGTAGTAGTAGTAGTGATAGTGTACGTAGTAGTAGTAGTAGTAGTGAAAGTGTACGTAGTAGTAGTAGTAGTGATAGTGTACGTAGTAGTAGTAGTAGTGATAGTTTACGTAGTAGTAGTAGTAGTAGTAGTGATAGTGTACGTAGTAGTAGTAGTAGTGATAGTGTACGTAGTAGTTGTGATAGTGTACATAGTAGTAGTAGTAGTAGTAGTAGTGATAGTGTACGTAGTAGTAGTAGTAGTGATAGTGTACGTAGTAGTTGTGATAGTGTACGTAGTAGTAGTAGTAGTGATAGTGTACGTAGTAGTAGTAGTAGTAGTAGTAGTAGTAGCAGCAAAATTAGTAGTAGTAGCAGCTTTGCTATTATTAGAAAAGTACAGGACATTGTTTCTGGTTACTCTTCGTACATTTGTCTTTTGTTGTTGATGTCGTCTCCGTGTTGTCTGAGGGGCGGTGGGGTAGCCTAGTGGTTAAAGCGTTGGCTCATCACGCCGAAAACCCGGGTTCGATTCCCCACATTGGTATAATGCGTGAAGCCCATTTCTGGTGTCCCCCGCCCTGATTTTGCTGGGATATTGCTAAAAGCGGCGTAAAACCATACTCACTCACTCAGTCTGTGTTGTCTGACATTATTTAACACATCTGTGACGGAATTATGTTGTTCGTAAGCTCCATTTCAGGAATGGAGAAGACTGAGTTCCTTCTCATCGGCTCCAAACATCAGCTTATAAAGTTGAAGACTGCTTTGCCATTACCTTCACTTCGTATTGGTGACACAGACATCCTACCATCAGAAAGTGACCGGAATCTTGGTGTCATCCTTGATTCCAACATGTCCATGGATGCACACATCACCTCCATCAGTAGAGCCTGCTACTACAACACCCATAACATCAGCAAAGTCCGCGACTACCTTGATACTGACACTTGTAAACTTCTGATGCATTGTCTTGTCACTTCCAAACTCGACTACTGTAATTCACTATATGCCAACCTCTCAAATAAATCACTCAAGAAACTTCAAAGAATCCAAACTTCTGCTGCCAGATGTATCACCCACACTCATCGTCATGACCATATCACCCCAGTACTACAGTCTCTACACTGACTCCCCATCTCTGCAAGAATTACCTTCAAAATCCTCATTCTGACTGATGACTGCCTCTACAATGATAACTTTCCTGACTATCTCAAACATCTCATCTCTGTGTATGTACCTCAGCGAAGTCTCCGATCCTCCTCCGGCTCTCTCCTAACCCAACACAGATCTCCAAACCAACTGTCTGACCGAGCCTTCTCCTGTGCCAGCCCTAAACTGTGGAACTGTCTTCTCCTGTGCCAGCCCTAAACTGTGGAACTGTCTTCCAAAGGAAATCAGGAACACTTCATGGAAAGAAACTTTTAAATCTCTGCTAAAGACCCATCTATTCACTGCTGCCTTTCTGTAAAGTTATATGAACTATTTCCGTCGCCAATATCGTCACAGCGCCACTGAGCATCTCTATGGTGGATATTAGGCGCTTTATAAATACATTATTATTATTATTATTCATGGACAGTTCTCTGTCAGTTTGCTGCGTGCTTCCAAGTTAAAATCATACTTTAACCCGAAATCTGTTTGTAAAATAATCTATTGCGTAACCAAGTAACAAAGACGTCACAGTTTTAAAATTAATAACACAGTCACATAATGAATAATGTCAGAAACATTTCAGTTCATTTACGCTAGATTTATATGGAACTCTATCATTATTTTCGCAAGTGAATGATTTTGAATTTTGTCCGGGATTCCAACCCGAATCGTTTCATATGAGTACGTCGAATTATCGACTTCAGCTAAGGCGACACGTGAAATTAACAATTACATGTTTTCTTATGTTTGCATAATGCTAAAAATGCTTCAAAACTATTCTAATAACGATGTTCACATTCAAAGAACTGATATAAACGTTCGATGAGAACAAAATACCTAAACATTTATATCCTTGTTTAGGGGGGCTATATCTGTTATAGTCCACGTCAGAATGTATTTACAGTGTACAGGGAATTGATGAAATACTGCTTCAGGTCCCAAGGGAATGATGCTGATCCGCGTTCCATGCAGCGTAATTATCAGCTCGAGACGGAGCTTGGTGCACTTGCAACAGCGGCAGAGAAGTATCCCACGTGCATCACGCAAGTACGACTCTCACAGTATAAACACAGAACACAAACAACAGGTTTATCTTCAAAAGTTTTCCACAAGGGAATGTATCGTGAAAGTGTAAAAGTAAGGATGCCTTCTTCACTTGTGGAGGATGGTTGCCCTTCTTCATTGGTGAAAGTTCAAAAGTTGGATGTGGAGGAGGAATGGTGGAGGGTGGTTGTCCTTCATCACTTGTGGAGGATGGTTGTCCTTCATCACTGGTGGAGGATGGTTGCCCTTCATCATTGGTGGAGGATGGTTGTCCTTCTTCACTTGTGGAGGATGGTTGCCCTTCTTCACTTGTGGAGGATGGTTGCCCTTCTTCATTGGTGCAGGATGATTGCCCTTCATCATTTGTGGAGGATGGTTGCCCTTCATCACTGGTGGAGGATGGTTGTCCTTCTTCACTGGTGGAGGATGGTTGCCCTTCTTCATTGGTGGAGGGTGGTTGCCCTTAATTACTTGTGGAGGATGGTTGTCCTTCATCACTTGTGGAGGATGGTTGTCCTTCCTCACTGGTGGAGGATGGTTGCCCTTCATCATTTGTGGAGGATGGTTCCCTTTCAATACTTGTGGAGGATGGTTGCCCTACAATACTGGTGGAGGATGGTTGCCCTTCATCACTGGTGGAGGATGGTTGCCCTTCTTCATTGGTTGAGGATGGTTGCCCTTCTCGACTTGCTGAAGTGGTTGGATGATAACAGACATGTCTGGAGGTCGGCTGTACAAGGCATCTAAGAACGGGAGTTTACTGTCCGTCTCCGCTCAACATTTGAGCTCCATGTTTGAGGATGTTGCCGAAAGTCTGAGGATGCTGTAAATGTCTGATGATGTTGTGGGTGTCTGAGGATGCTGTGGGTGTCTGAGGATGTTGTGGGTGTCTGAGGATGTTGTCTGAGGATGTTGTGGGTGTCTGAGGATGTTGTCTGAGGATGTTGTGGGTGTCTGAGGATGTTGTGGGTGTCTGAGGATGTGTGGTGTCTGAGGATGTTGTGGGTGTCTGAGGATGTTGTGGGTGTCTGAGGATGTTGTGGGTGTCTGAGGATGTTGTGGGTGTCTGAGGATGTTGTGGGTGTCTGAGGATGTTGTGGGTGTCTGAGGATGTTGTGGGTGTCTGAGGATGTTGTGGGTCTGAGGATGTTGTGGGTGTCTGAGGATGTTGTGGGTGTCTGAGGATGCTGTGGGTGTCTGAGGATGTTGTGGGTGTCTGAGGATGTTGTGGGTGTCTGAGGATGTTGTGGGTGTCTGAGGATGTTGTTGACGTTTGAGGATGCTGTGGCTGTCTGAGGATGCTGTTGATAACTGAGGCTGCTGTTGATAACTGAGGATGCTTTGAGATGTCTGAGGACAATATGTGAAGCCCATTTCTGGTGTCCCCGTGAAATGGTGTTTCCGTGATATTGCCGGAATATTGCTAAAGGGGGCGTAAAACTAAACTCACTCACTCACGCATGCCTAACGGACGCATCTCCGTGGAACGAGTTACAGAGTCTCAGCCTCTTGTGCCAACCCTATACATTGGAAGACAGTACACATGCTTATGAAACTGTCCAAATATCATTGCATTATGATAGTTACACAACTGCAATATTGCTCACACTTATTGAACAGTTACGGAACAGTGTTTTAAATAACTCAGGTCTACACCAACAGCCTAAAAGGAAGCGTCATCGATTGTCTCCCTTTACCAGCAACGCCACATCAACTCCGTGTGAACACGACGCCCGTGGCGTCAACAGACACCACACCATTGCACACACCAACAACAATGGTGATTATTCACTAACTATGCGGGATAATTACTGCAGCAAGAACATAACCCTCCATCAACCTACTTTCAGATCAATTTCATAGTAATTCAAGGTGTAATCCTCTGCATTAACAGTCATTTCTCCCGTCATTGCGGGACCCTCAGCATCCTCATCCACGATGAACGTCGCCGGGGTTATGTTGCAGTGCACGTCAGCTGCACGTACAGGCAGTACAAGTGTCATCAAACTGTCTGATGTCTTCCCATAAACACCACGAACATGACGACGTGTCAAATCAGCACAGACAATGTACCATGAATGTCTGATGTCGGGTTGTTCCCGATAACACGCACAGGTCACAAATCAATAATAATAATAATTATTAAAAAAATAATTCATTTATATAGCGCCTAGTATCCATCTGACTAGTTGCTCACAGGACGCTGTAATCAGAATCTGATTATTATTACCCCGGATAACCCACGCTGCCTCTGAGGCGCTAGAAGGTTAATAGTCACATAACATCCCACCGGGTACCCATTTTCTGCTAGGTGGACAGAGGCAATTTTCAACAAACTCACTTGCCTAAGGTGAGACCACATGTATCACATGTGCTTCGTTGTGGGGCAGGACTCAAGTCCTGGAAACTCTCGGGAGTCAAGCTGCCAAACACGACCACCCATCCAAGAACTCTCCGGACTCGACGTTGCTTAGCTTCAACTGATTTGTGACCTGAGCTCTACGCACAGGACGACACACAGAAGATAAGTAGTGTTTGACGTGGATAGTAGTAATGTCACGATTCATCGGTGCATCGCAGGCAAGTTAAGCTCGATTCATTTTTTATAGTATCGATTCATATTTTGACATAAATCGGTTATCACTTTGATGTTGCACCGATATTTCATACAAAACATTTTTTTTTTAAAACCCGCCTTCCTAATATGTGCCTGAGACAATACTAAGCCATAACTTGCGACAGGTACAATGTAAGCACTGCCTCGTGACAGGTTCACTAAAGAAGGAACATGTTAAGAATTATTAATAGTAATTACACTCTTCAAAAAGAGGAACGCATAAGTGCGGCAAAAATAATACAAATGTATTTTTTCCTGGAAAAGAGGAAATCATCACGCCGAGATCGTGTGCCACTAATCGAAACAGCAGACAAAGATCCGATTTGGTGGTGGTTCAGGGGAATTAGACAGCAAATGGTACATCAACGAAGTCCTTGCACGTCACAAGCTTCCGATTATGGACCGACTGAGCGAGTTGTTCCAGCATGACAACCCTACTTCACATACAACACGCGTCACGGTCCGCCACCTTGCCAATTCTAACGTCAATGTCTTGCCATAGCCTTACAAAGCACTGACTTTGACGCCATCCTGTGGACTCAAGTAAACAAAAACACAACAATGAAGGCTGCTGTTGTGTTGACAAACACTTTTACTATAGACGTGTGAATTTTCACATTTTACCATTGGAATTACATGAAATAATTGCTCTTAAACTAACGGAATAAATTCATCTAAAATCTCTTATGCGTTATTTATTGAAGAGTGTATGTCCTCGTGAAATCGCTATGATACAGACCCGCGTTCATTTCCCAGTTCCCAGTTATAGTGCATGACGGTAATGTCACGATTCACCGGTGTATCGCCGGCAACTTTGCACGATACGATACACGGTTAATTTGTTTTAGTATCGATTAATATTTTGACATATATCGGTTATTACTTTGATGTTGCATCGACATGTCTTGTTAAATAAAAACAGGACATTATTAATATTTGAACATAACACATTTTTCTCTTGTAATTTTGTTGTACAGAAAGTCAGATATTAACAGTAATCTGTAACAAACTGTTTGGTGACTCGTGAGTTATGGCATGAACTTGCCATCCAGGTAATTGATGCTTGTTACGCGCAAAATGTCGGAAATGTAGTTTCATAGTAAATGGGTGATCACTTCCAGAAGCTCACTCCACGGGGCTTCTAAGGCCTTGCCGAGCGATGGGGTAGCCTTGTGGTTAAAGCGTTCGCTCGTCACGCCGAAGACCTGGGTTCGATTCCCCACAGGGTTACAATGTGTGAAGCCCATTTCTGGTGCCGTGATCTTGCTGGAATATTGCTAAAGGCGGCGTAAAACCCAACTCACTCACTTACTCACTCTTAGGCCTTGGTTGGTTTTGGATCACACCGAAGCGCACGAAGCATAACTGGCCTCTCCTCAGATATGACTTGGTTTAAAGCAGGCCTCAGATCATTCAGCAATGAATGGGTACTCGGAAGAATGAAGTAGTCGAGAAACTGTTAATCTAATCGCCATATAGCTGGAATGTTGCGTTAAGCAACAAAGAAACAATTCTGTTACACAATTCTGTTCAATTCATGAAACACATTAAAATATTTGCCTGACTGCTTACGGAACATTTCGTGGCATTTTTGTACAGGAGTTGTCTAAGAAGCCGATTGTGTTTTGTGCGTAAGTTTGGCATGCCTGTGGTAGGTTCGAATCCCGGTCAGCTGCAAGGTTTGTTAGCACTCTACCCTAGCTTGTTGGTTTTACCACAGTGGTAAACATAACGGTAATATATCTGAAGTAATGCTCAAAGCGGCGTTAAAACCACCTCACTCACTCACCGATTTCTCTTGTAGACAATTTCTGCTTATGGGGACGCAAAATCCCATCGGAATTTGGCTTACGGATTATACCGAGAAGGCCACTTTATGAACAAGAATATTTATCAAAGAGCTAAACCAATATTCGCTTTCTTTAATCATGATGAAGTCAACGTATCCTAACTGTTTAAATATGTGTTCATGATGTCAATCACTGGATTGTCTGGTGAAGAGTCCATTGTTCAAAGACCGCTGTTATACAGCTGGAAAATTACAATATTAATCTTAACGCGTGCAATTAAATTGTGCAGATTTTACGAATCTTCAATCAGTTCGGTCTCTTGAAGCTTGCCAGCACTGCACGTGTGAGCATATGTGTGCGTGCGTGCGTGCGTGTGCGTGTGCGTGTGCGTGTGTTGCCGATCTTTTGAAAATTCTCAAGTGGTACCATTACACGAGAAGACATACACTATAACGGGGAATTAGGAATTGAACGGGTATGTATCATGACATGAGAAGCCGTGCTCTATAACGAGGAATTGGGAATTGAACGGGTATGTATCATGACATGAGAAGCCATACACTATAACGGGGAATTAGGAATTGAACGGGTATGTATCATGACATGAGAAGCCGTGCTCTATAACGAGGAATTGGGAATTGAACGGGTATGTATCATGACATGAGAAGCCATGCTCTATAACGGGGAATTGGGACTTGAACGGGTATGTATCATGACATGAGAAGCCATGCTCTATAACGGGGAACTGGGAATTGAACGGGTATGTATCATGACATGAGAAGCCATGCTCTATAACGAGGAATTGGGAATTGAACGGGTATGTATCATGACATGAGAAGCCATGCTCTATAACGGGGAATTGGGACTTGAACGGGTATGTATCATGGCGTTTGCATGAGGATACAAATGTTATCATTAATTGTTAAGATTCATCTTCTTTAATGAATCTGTTATGGTTGTATTATCTGTTAATGTTATAGGTTGTACAACAAATAATCAACAATGATTCAACTGCTATACGTTGTAATTGTAAAGTTGGTTTGGTTGTTTGTATGTAGTTAACACCGCACTCAACAACATTCCAGCAAACCCGTGAAGTTCCGGGTTAGAATATTGATCTTCAGTAACCAATGCTTGTCGTA